CTAGAGCGCAGGCTCAGTAGTTGTGGCACACGGGCTTAGTTGCTCCGCGGCATGTAGGATTTTCCCAGACCAGGGCTCGAGCCCGTGTTCCCTGCACTGGCAGGCAGATTCTTAACCACTGCGCCACCAGGGAAGCCCTATCATGTGCTCTTTTGTGTAAGGCTTCTTTCATTCAGTGTAACGTTTTTGAGATTTATACACGTTGTCCTATGTAATTTGTTGCTTTTTGTTGAAGAACAGCATTTCATTCTATGTTTATACCACAGCTTATATTTTTTGGTTTGAACGTTTTTTTATTTTGACATAATTTCAGATTATAGAAAAGTTGCAAGAGTAGTACAAAGAATTCTAGATATCCTTCATCCAGATTTTCCAAATGTTAACATTTATCTATACTTGCTTTATCCTTCTCTTTCGCTCTCTTTTTTTCTGAACCATGTCAAGTTGCAGACATGACATCCCTTTACTCCTGAATACTTCAGTGTATTTTACCTAAAAACAAACAAGAAATTCTCTCATATAACCAGAGTGCATTTAACAAAATCAGGAGATGAGAGTAGTATAGTACTATTTTATAAGCTAAAGACTTTGTTCAAATTTTGCCAGTTGTCTTAGTAATATCTTTAATAGCAAAAGAAAATCTAAAAATGTGTGTAGCATTTGTTATCATGTCTTTTTAGTCTTCATTCTGGAACAATTCCTGAGTCTTTCTTCGTATTTCATGACATTGACAGCTTTTGAAGAATATAGGCAAGTTATTTTTAAATTAGGCTTTTATTTTGAGATAATTGTAGAGTTGCATCAGTTGTAAGGCATAATACAAAGAGATCCCATATATCCTTTACCCATCTGGCCCAATGGTAACATCTTGCAAAACTATAGCACAATATCAAAACCCAGATATTGACACTGATACAGTCAAGATACAGAACATTTCCAACATGAGGAAAGATCCCTCATGTTGCTCTTTTATAGCCACCCCCATTTCTCTCCCACCCCTACCCTGATAAGCAGTAATCTGTTCTCCGTTTCTATAATTTCATCATTTCAATGAGGTTATATAAATATAACTACTGTACATCGTATGCAGCCTTATGGATTGGTCTTTTTCACACAGCATAGTTCTCTGGAGATTCATCCAGGTTGTTGTATGCATCAGTAGTTCCCTCTTGCTGAGTAGTGTTCCATGGTTTGGATCTACCACAGTTTGTTCAACCATTCACCTGTTGACAGACATCTGGGTGGTTTCCAATTTTTTTAATGTTATGAATAAAGCTGCTATAAACATTTGTGTTCAGGTTTTTATGTGAACATTAAGTCTTTACTTCTCTGGGATAAATGCCCAGGAGTGAAACTGCTGGGTCGTATGGCAATTACATATTTAGTTTTTTTTTTTTTTATGACCGCACGGCATGTGGGATCTTAGTTCCCTGACCAGGGATCAAACCCGCACCCCTTGCATTGGAAGTGCGGAGTCTTAACCACTGGACCACCAGGGAAGTCCCACATATTTTAGTTTTTGAAGAAACTGCCAGATTGTTGTTGAAAGTGGCTATACCATTTTGCTTTCCCAGCAGCAATGTATGAGTAATCCAAACTGTCAATAACACTTGGTACATACTGTCTGTAGTTTTTATTTCAGCAGTGTGAGTGGGGTGAGGTAGTACTTCATTGTGATTTTAGTTTGCACTTCCTTAATGGCTAGTGATGTTGGACATTGTTTCATGTGTTCATTTGCCATCTGTGTGACTTCTTGGTTGAAATGTCTCTTCATGTCTTTTGTCCGTGGATTGTTTGCTATTTGGATTGTTTGCTTTTTACTGTGGAGTTTGTTGTTGTTGTAGGAAGAGCTAGCATTTTTTCTTTTGACTGGTAGATGTTTAGAATGATCCATTCAAGGAAGATTGTTTATTCCAGGTTGATGAAGTCCATATCCTTTGTGTACTGACGTAGACACTGGTGGGACACATGGTATTTCCAGATCAAACTATGCAGGTTTAGGGAGCCCAGCAGCAACAGTGAGAATCTTGGCTGAATTTTCATATGTAACTCCAGTAGAACTGCTGCCGACACATCTTGTTTTCATGGATGCAACAAGACAAAAGGCTACTGGTGGGTTTTGAGAATTTTTTTTATCGTCTAGGTACTTGTATTTGTCGGATATATGGTTTGTAAGTATTTTCTTACAGTCTGTAGCTTGTCTTTTCATCCTCTTAACAGGGTCTTTCATAGAGCAAAAGTTTTTCATTTTGATGAAGTAAAATTTAAGTTTATTTTATGGATAACAATTTTGGTTTAAAGTCTAAAAACTCTTTGTTTTATTTTATATCCCAAAGATTGTCAGCAATATTTTTTCCTAAAAATTGTATAGTTTTACAATTTACATTTGAGGGACTCCCCTGGTGGTCCAGTGGGTAAGACTCTGCACTCCCAATGTAGGGGGCCCAGGTTCAATCCCTGGTTGGGGGAACTAGATCCTGCACGCATGCCGCAACTAAGACCCAGCAAAGCCAAAATAAATAAATAATAAATAAATATTTTTTTAAAAACCAATTTACATTTGAGTCCATGATATACTTTATGTTAATTCTTTATGTGATGTGAAACTTAGGTCAAGGCTCATTTTTCTACCTATGGATGTCTAGTTACGCCAACATCATTTGTTGAAAAGACTCTTTCTTCCATTGAGTTGCTTTTTGCAATTCAGTTGGTGTTTGTGATCTTGGATTAGGCAATGCTTGCCTAGATATCACACCAAAAGCACAAGCAACAAAAGAAAAAATATATAATAATTGGACTTTATCAAAATTAAAATCTTTTGTGTTTCATAGGATAAAATGCTAGATTTACACCCAAATATTTCTTTTTTTTTTTTGAGTGGTTTAAATGGTATTGTATTTTAATTTCAGTGTCCATATGTTTATTGCTAGTATATAAAAATGCAGTTGAGTTTTTTATGGTTTTCTTGTATCCTGAAACCTTGATGACCTCACATATTGCTTCTTAGATTTTTTTTTTTTTTGGAGATTCTTTGGTTTTTCTATATAGACAATCATGTCATCTCCAGTGGGACAGTTTCTTTTTTTTTTTTTTTTGTGGTACACGGACCTCTCACTGTTGTGGCCTCCCCCTTTGCAGAGCACAGGCTCAGCGGCCATGGCTCACAGGCCCAGCCGCTCCGCGGCATGTGGAATCTTCCCGGACTGGGGCACGAACCCGTGTCCCCTGCATTGGCAGGTGAACTCTCAACCACTGCCCCACCAATGAAGCCCCAGTGGGACAGTTTTATGTATTCCTTTCCAATTGGAATGCCTTTTATTTTCATTACTTGCCTTATTGCATTTCTTGAACTTCCAGCACTCTGTTGTCTTATATATTTCCTCTACATATATTTAGAACATCAGACAGTGATTGTCTTAGCCCATTTGTGCTGCTGTAAAAATATACCATAGACTGGGTGGCTTATAAACAACAGAAATTTATTTCTCACAGTTCTGGAGGCTGAAAGTCCAAGATCAGGGTGCCAGCATGGCTGGGATCTGGTGAAGACCCTCTTCTGGGTTGCAGACGCTGGTTTCTCACTGTGTCCTCCCATGGTGGAAGGGGCTAGAGAGCTCTTTTATAAAGCTTTTTTTTTTTTAAAGTATTTATTTATTTATTTAGGCTGCACTGTGTCTCAGTTGTGGCATGTGGGATCTTTTAAGTTGCGGCATGCAGACTTCTTAGTTGCGGCATGCGGGATCTAGTTCCCCGACCAGGGATCAGACCCAGGCCCCCTGCACTGGGAGCGTGGAGTCTTACCCACTGGACCACCAGGGAAGTCCCTATAAAGGTTTTTATAGAGCTCTTTTATTCACAAGAGCTCCCCATCATGACCTAATCACCTTCTTCTGCTAGAGCCTAAAGACTCTACCTCCTAATACCATCAACTTGGGCATTAGGTTTTCAACATAAGAGTTTTGATAGTTTTATTTATTTATTTATTTACTTGGCTGCTCCAGGTCTTAGTTGTGGCATGTGGGATCTTCGTTGGAGCACTCAGGATCTTTAGTTGAGGCATGCGGGATCTAGTTCCCTGACCAGGGATCGAAACTGGGCCCCCTGCACTGGGAGCTCGGAGTCTTAACCACTGGACCACCAGGGAAGTCCCTCAACTTAAGAACTTTGGGGAGACACAAACATTCAGCCCATAGCAGTGATATAATTTTTGCTTCAACTGTGAAACATAATCAAGAGAAATATGTATGACAAACATACAACAAAAGCTGAGTCAAAATCAAGAGGAGAAAGAAAGCCTATTGTATTTACCTATATTTTTAATTATCATAGTTTTTTTCTTTTTCTTTCTGAGTTTCCACGTTTCCTTCTTTTATAATTTCCTTTGTTTAGAGAACTCCTTTACTCATTCTTTTAGGATAGGTCTGGTAACTACAAATTCTCTTAGTTTTTCTTCATCTGACAATGTCTTGATTTCCACTTCATTCCTGGAGGGCATTTTCACTGGGTATAGGATTCCCAAGTTGTCAATCTTTCATCGCTGGAAAAATATTGTACCACTTTCTTCTGGCCTCCACAGTTTCTGATAAGAAATCCACTCTCATTCGAATTATTTTTTTCTGAAAGGTAATGTGTCAACTCTGTCACCGTAGTGTTGGCTTCTATTGATTTTCTTTTTTTCATTCAGTTTGAGATCTTCTTGGTTCTTGGTGATTCTCCACTGAAACCTGGACATTTTCATATTATGTCTTTAAATATGATTCTGGGTCTTATGTAAACCTATTTTATTTTTTAAAATTTATTTTATTTATTTATTTATTTTTGGCTGTGTTGGGTCTTCGTTGCTGTGCTCAGACTCTTCTCTGGCTACGGCGAGCAGACTCTTTGTTGTGGTATACGGGCTTCTCATTACGGTGGCTTCTCTTGTTGTGGAACACAGGCTCTAGGCGCACAGGCTTCAGTAGTTGTGGCTCACAGGCTTAGTTGCTCTGCAGCATGTGGGATCTTCCTGGACCAGGGCTCGAACCCGTGTTCCCTGCACTGGCAGGCGGATTCTTAACCACTGTGCCACCAGGGAAGCCCTAAATCTATTTTAGTTGGTCTTCTCTGACACCACTCCAGGAAGGGAACATAGGGGGTGCCATCTTGTTACCGCCAGGTGGAGGTAGAAATCCAGGTTCCTCACTTGGTTTCCATTGATATTAAATGAAGGGGCTCATCATTACTGCTCATTGGGGGGTTGGAGTTCCAGATCTTCTCACCGTCTCCACTGATGCCTTGGGGTAGTGATCCTTGTTATTCCCAGATGGGGATGAAAGTCCTGGCTCCCTACTTGGCTTTCTCTGATGTCACCCTACAGGGTTGTTGAGGCACCTTGTTACAGGCTGCAAGGGTGGAAGTCTAGACTCCCCGCAGGCTTTGCTGGCAAGAATATAGGCCGGGCCACAGTTTTCTTCTGTGGTATTTGGCTGGAGTTAAATGGTTACTGCTTAAAAATTTTCAGTCTTGCTAGGTGGCCCCTTTCCCGGTCCTTTAGCTATGAAGCAGGCTTTTCTTGGGTCTTTCTTATCTGCACCCATTGGTTTCATGGTTGCCAGCTTCTTCAGATCCATGTCTGATCCATGAGACAAAAAGAAAATCCAGGGAACTTGCCAACATGTCATTCCTTGGGTCCTGAGGTTCTTTCCACGTTTTAGAATCTTATGTTTGTTTTCTATATAGTGTTTAGGGGTTTTAGTTGTAATTAGTACAAGGAATAGGGAAATTTATCTATTCCACCTTTCTGGGAATCCAGTTATTTTGTGAGTTAATGTTTCTCTATCTGAGTTTCTCTGATATTCTCTCGTGATTACATTTGGGTTACACTAATTTAGCCACAGTTCCACAGAAGTGCATCACAGCAGAAGGCACATGCTGTCAATTAACATTGTTACCAGTGATACTAACTTTGTTAGCTTTGATCGGTTGGTTAAGGTGATGTTTGCCAGGCTTCTCCACTATGACATTACTTTTTTACTTTTTATAGTTAATAAGTATTTTGTAGGGAGATATTTTGAGACTGTGTAAATATCTTCTTACTCTTCAAACTTTCACCAGCCAGTCTGAAAAACATACATTGATGACACTTGCCTGAATCAATTATTATGATGGGTTTTTAAAAAATGTTTATTGAAAAATAGGTGATTTAAAATGTGTTAGTTTCAGGTATACAGTAAAGTGATTCAGTTATACATATATATAAATATAAACATACATATATATTCTTTTTTACATTCTCTTCCATTATAGGTTATTATAGATATTGAGTATAGTCCCCTGTGCTATACAGTAGGTCCTTGTTGGTTATCTATTTTATATATAGTAGTGTGTAATGATAGGTTTCAAATGATGATTTTCCAATTCTATCATTCTTTCTTCACTTATTAATTTACATTTAACTAAAGAAGAGCTTTCCCTTCTCCACCATTCATTCACTCATTCCCTCATTTATCTATATATCCATTTATATCAGCTTATTTATTCTTATATTGTAAATAATAATCTCTCACTATTATTACTTATTTTGATGCTCAAATTGTCCCATATTTGACCAGTGGGATCCCCCCCTTTAGTTACCTCCTGTCTCTCTGTGACGTATCTTTATTCAAAGACAACATGATTGTCTATGTAGAAAATCCCAAAGAATCTACCAAAAAGCTACTAGAACTATAAGTGAATATTACAGTGTTGTAGGACACAAGATTTATATATAAAAATCAATCATATTTCTATATAATAGCAATAAGCAACTGGAAATTAAAATGTTAAAAATACCATTTACAATAGCAAAAAATCACAGAATACTTAGGGATAAAACTAAGAAAATATATACAAGATTGGTATTTTGAAACTACATTGATGACAGAAATTAAAGAAGACTTAAATAAATGGAGAGACATACTTTGTTTATGTATTGGAAGAGTCAATATTGTTAAGCTGTTAATTCTTCCCAAATTTATCTATGATTCAACATAAACACTATCAAAATCCCAGGAGCCTTTTGGGATAGAAATTGGTAAGCTGACTCTAAAATTTAATATGAAAAAACAAAGGATCCAGAATATTGTGGAAACAATTGGAAATCCATATGCTAAAAAATAAACCTTGACCTTTGCCTTGCAACAGATCAAAACAAACAAACAAACAATCTGATATTAAGAATGGGCAGAGGAGCTGAATAGACATTTTTCCAAAGAAGACATACAAATTATCAACAGGTTCATGAAAAGGTGCTCAACATCACTAATTAGCAGGAAAATACAAATCAAAACCACAGCGAGAGGCTTCCCTGGTGGCGCAGTAGTTAAGAATCTACTTGAAAACGCAGGGGACACGGGTTTGATCCCTGGTCTGGGAAGATCCCACATGCCGCGGAGCAACTAAGCCTGTGCGCCACAACTACTGAGCCTGCGCTCTAGAGCTCACGAGCCACAACTGCTGACCCCGCATGCCACAACTACTGAAGCCCGCGCACCTAGAGCCCGTGCTCCGCAACAAGAGAAGCCACTGCAATGAGAAGCCTGCGCACCGCAACGAAGAGTAGCCCCCGCTCACTGAAACCAGAGAAAGCCCGTGCACAGCAATGAAGATCCAACGCAGCCAAAAATAAAAATAAAAAATAAAATTAAAAAATTAAAAAAAAAACACAGTAAGATATCATCTTACATGTTAGAATGATTATTATAAAAAAGACAAGAGCTAACAAGTGCTGGTAAGGGTGTGGAGGAAAGGGAATATTTGTGCACTGCTGGTGGTATCAGAAATTGGTACTGCCACTATAGAGGGGCTTCAAAAAATTAAAAATAGAACTATATTATCAGTAATCCCACTTCTGGGTATATTCCCGAGGGAAATGAAAATGGGATCTTGAAGGGATACCTGCATTCCCATGTTCAGTGGCATTATTCATAATAGCCAAGATATGGAAACAACCTAAGTGTCCGTTTGATATTTCCTCTTAGTTAGCTTAGTAGTCAGCTTACGAGTAGACAGAGAAAACTTTAAATGCCTTGAACCTATAATCCAGACCTTTCCAAAGGGCTGTGTGTGTGTTTTGAGGTATACCTCCAATGTTCCAGCTTGGTCTTCTGGCTTACATACTGTCACTGGCAAAGCCCATTAACAATTTCCAGGAAATAAAAATAGAATCTGGGTAATAATATAAAACTAACTTTTTTTTCCCTTGTGCTTAGTCTAGTTTCACTTGCTCATTGTGTGCCATGTGCAGAGGCCTCCGTAAAGGGGACGTATACCTGGATGAGCCCTCCTTCTCCATCAGGGACCTGCCTCAAGGGGAATCCTGGAAGGTTGATGGACCCTGGCTGGGAATTTAGTCACACAAATACCACCAGATTCGACCCAAATAAGATTTCTGTTCGGGAGATTTGGAACCAGCCCCAAACTGTTAATGGATTGCTCAAAAGACCAAAATAGGAGCCATCCAAATGGTTCAGATCTGATATAGCTGGGGGTCTGCCTTGAATTTGTAACAGCCTGTGCTTAAGACAGTCCCTCCTCAGTCAGAATATCCCACAGGAGGTAAGATTGGACTGCCTCTGGTCCAGAGCAGCGTAGGCACGTTAGTTCCTAACCAACTTGGTCTGTTAGGGAGTGGCACAGCTCTCTGAATCAGGGGTCTTCTCTTTCCTCCTTTCAGCCAAAAAGAAGGTGTTTCAGACTTCCTACCAGGTGAAGCTAAAAGCACGAGGGATTCCCATGGGGTACTCACCAGACCACTGGGGCAGCTGGTATTCTGTGCTGATACCAGGAGGAGAGCTCGTGGAACCTCGGTCGATAATCACCCAAGGTTCACCTCACAAGTTGCGGTGCAGGGGGGGCAGTGGGTGTTTCTTGTTCTGGCCAGCAGCTCACAGGTCTTCCAGATATTGGGGGTTCTGGTCTTACAAAGGGCTCACAGGGCTCCCCTGCCTACTTCAGAGGAACTAGCACCAGGCAGTAGGAAAAAAACCTGTCAATTGGAATAAGATAAAGGAAATCATCAGGAGCCAACAGAAGACCTTTCAGCATTCCTAGAGTGCCTCAGGCAATGCCTCCAAATGTATACCACCACTGACCTTGAGTCACTGGAAGGGAATGCAATCCTGAGGTTCTATTCAATTTCTCAAAGTGACCTGGACATGAGGCGGCGTAAGCTTCAGAAACTGGAAATAGAACCATATAGCCCTGCCTCTCGCCTGGTCGGGGTTGCCTACCAGGTGTTTAATAACCAAGATACAGACGAGGAAAAGTCAGAGGATAAAAAGGTCTGGAGGCAAGTCCACTTGCTGGCTGTTGCCCTCCAATGTCAACTGGTCTGGACTAACTGCCCTCAGAAACTCTCAACTCCAGTGAGTGACTGCTGGCCCACACGGAGGGATAGCAAGGCAAGGAAAGCAGACCCAATCAGTGTGCCATATGTAAACAAGAGGGACACTGGAAGGGAGAATAACCTCACCGCCCCAAAAAGCGACAGAAATGCCAGGTACCAGCCATTACCTTCGAAGGCAGATGATCCAAATAGGTGAAGAATGATGGGGCCAGGGAACTCCTAAGCTGGCACTCCAACTGACCCCTAAGGAACCCCTGCTGACATTGGACATAGGGAGAAAGCCCATCAACACCTGTGCCACTTACTTGATTCTGAGCACCAGATCAGGCAAACTCAGTCACAAGAGTTGTAAAATTATGGGGGTATCAGGGAAGGCCCAAGAATGAGCATTCATAGAACCATTCGAATGTAAAGTGGATGAACACATTCTCACTCATTCCTTCCTGTATGTCCCTGAATGCCCTATACCCCTGCTAGGAAGAGATGTCCTACGTATGTTGGGGGCTAACTACCCACCTAATGGGAGACAAACGAGATGGGTGTTCCCCTAGACAGGGGCACAAGGTGATAATGGTAATGGCTGAGGAAAAACCTCCCTAGACAGAGCAAGCAACCTCCTTGGAGTAAATCCTGAGGTCTAGGCACAGGGACGGGTGGGACTAGCTGTAGGAGCCAGTCCCATGATAGTCCATCTAAAACCCGGACATACGCTGCCGTCCCAGATTTAGCTCAAATATCACAAACTAGGGTGTCCTACCTAGGCTTCATTCTCACAAGTCAGAGAAGCCTACCCTAGAAAATAAAAGAAGCCCTTTGCAGCCTCACCCATCCTAAAACTGGAAGACAGCTTAGGGGTTTCCTGAGGATGGCTGGGTTTTGCCGCATCTGGATCCCTAAATATGGTCTAATAGTGAGGCCTCTGTATGAAGAGTTGAAAGGAAAGGATGATCCTTTTGAATGGAATTCAGAATGTAAAGGGGACTTTCAGGAATTGAAAAAGCAGTTACTTCAAGTCCCTGCCCTGGCCCTCCAAGATTTAACTAAACCCTTTGACCCTTACATTCGGGAGAGAATGGGAATGGCCCTTGGGGTATTAGCTCAAAAACTGGGACCTCTTACTCAGGGTTGCATTTCTCTAAACAATCCAATCACTATATGGAAGTGCATTTGAACTCATGTGTGGTAGACCCCTTCGCCAAGCCTGAAAGGACACCTTAACTCCCTTGAAATGGAACAACTCAAGTATGCCCTCCAGGTAGGAGAAACCATGAAAGCTCTCTTGGAATATGGTAACCAGGTACTGTTCCTGCCCACCAGGAGACTAAGTGTATCTAAAAACCTGGAAAACTGGAAGCCTGCAAGATCAGCTCACTCCTTAGTGGAATGGACCCCATTTGGTGATTCTGAGACAGGAGGGAAAGGGGCAGGACACAACAGCTAGATAAATGAAGAAGGGGCGCAGCTATTAGGATGCAATAAAAACTGGCTGGAACCAAGGTGACTTCGAGAATAGTCCAGTCATTGACCTTTAGCTCATTATATCTTCATTGTAATACTAAAAAATCATACCCCTTTTTATGCCTTGACAGTCCAAGGCAGACTATAAAAGGCCAAAAAGTGGGTAGTGGCCCAATTTCTGGGAAATCCCTACCCTTCCCTGAAATAGCAAGAATATTCCTCCCACTCATTAGCATATGAAATTACTCAGCCCATAAAAACCAACAGCCACATGCCCTGGGGCCACTCTTACTTTCTGAGACAGACTGCATTCAGCCTATGGAGTGTGTATCTAAGTAAACTTGCTTTCACTTTTCTTTGGCTCACTCTTGAATTCTTTCCTGTGTGATGCCAAGGACCCTCACTTGGTGGTCTGTCTTAAGGACTCTTGTGGGTCCCAGGACATGACATATTCCTCTTCTGCAACAATGCTAACCACCCATTCTTTCCTGAAGTTGCAGGTTATCACACTGTGGTTACATCACCCTCAAGTAAAGAGGACCCCGAGCCCCAAACTCTGGAGAGACAACCTGGGGCAACGGACCCCTTTGGCTACTCATGTGAACTTCTCTCTGACCTGGAGCTTCTCTTCTGAAAAACAACAGAAGTGTTACCAGGGATATGCAGGCCATAGTAGTGTGCCTCAACATCAGGGCACACTTGCCTACAGTCAAAAGACCTAGATACCTGCATTTTCAGGAAAAATTTGCTCTTGCTAATACTTGAGCCATGTATCTTTAAATTTTTTATTTATTTATTTATGTATTTTAATTGGGCCATGTACCTTAAATTGTCTGGTGTCCCTTGTCTCCAAAAGGTTAGACAGGGAATTCCCTGGCAGTCCAGTGGTTAGGACTCAGTGTTTTCACTCCTGGGGCCCAGGTTCAATCCCTGGTCGGAGAACTAAGATCCCGAAAGCCGCGTGGCACAGCCAAAACAAAACAAGCAAACCCAAGGTTAGACAAATGGTGGTCACTCAGGGATATGCACAGTCAGGGCGAAGGCTTGGTGACAAACATATGTAAAGGTAGCTAGGGAGAAGTTCTGCTCCTCTACCCAGGGTTATGACGACTCCCCTGATCAGCAGAAAGAAGCTACATAAGTCGGACCTTCTCCCCTTAGCACCCCTCAAGAATGAGAAGCAAGACAAAAATCAGAGGAGGGATTTGTCACTGGCAAAGACCATTAACAGTGCTCAGGAAATAAAAATAGAGTCTGGGTAATAAAATAAAATCTAACGTTTTTTTCCCATTTGTCATTACTCTAGTTTCACTTGTTCATAGGCTGCCGCATGCAGAGGCATTGCACCTGGCATTTCAGACCAGAGTTCCTGGTGCCAGATGGCTTCGATGGGCGGGCTGTGAGCAGAAGCCCTTGCCTGCATGACACGGCAATTCAAGATGGTGGCAGCGACAGCGGGCTGTGTGCAGAGACGCTGCACCTTACAAGTCTGGAGGCACAGCTGCGACCAACAGGAGAGAGCTCCGCAGCTTCCCTGCTGGCCAGAACCCTATAAAGCAGCCCCGCCCATGGCCTGCGGGGAGAGCCTGTGCTCTAGAGCAGAAGCTTGCACCTCTCCATTCTCTGATCAAAGAATAAAGCTTTCTTTTGCTTATGAACCAAACTCTGTCTTTTTCAACTGTCCCAAATGACACCGGGCAGGAGGACACTTTTTGGGGCCCGACTTGAAAGCATCGGTAATAATACCAGGTATGAAACAACTGACTGATGGTATTAACAAAATTGATCCCACTGAGCCACCCCACAGCCAGAAGATAAAATAGGAAATTGTTGAAGCCAGTACCTATGCATAGTAAGAAAACTGGCTAAAACCCAGATCCAGTAGCATTTCTGGTTGAAGTGCGGACAAGTTGCCCTAGTCAAACTCTAACACGCCATGGATCAAGGCATAGAAAGTCACCCATAAGGGCTCTCCACTGAAACAACACTGTTTGAAGCCTTGCGTTGCCTCTACAGCCGACTAGTCACGTTGACAATCCCTATGTCTTATCCTCCAGGGGAAGGGTGGATTGGTCCCATCACTGTAGGTTGAGTGAAGACTGAGTTTCCAAGAGCAGTCACACACAAGTAGAGTGTGCTGAAACATACTAGACAGTATTTTTTTCCATTTTAAAAAAACCTTTTCTACAAAAATAAACAAATGGGACCTAATGAAACTTAAAAGCTTTTGCAGAGTGAAGGAAACCATAAACAAGACGAAAAGACAACCCTCAGAATGGGAGAAAATATTTGCAAATGAAGCAACTGACAGAGGATTAATCTCCAAAAGTTACAAGCAGCTCATGCAGCTCATGCAGCTCAATATCAAAAAACAAACAACCCAATCCAAAAATGGGCAGAAGACCTAAGTAGACATTTCTCCAAAGAAGATATACAGATTGCCAACAAACACATGAAAGAATGCTCAACATCATTAATCATTAGAGAAATGCAAATCAAAACTACAATGAGATATCATCTCACACCGGTCAGAATGGCCATGATCAAAATATCTACAAACAACAAATGCTGGAGAGGGTGTAGAGAAAAGGGAACCCTCTTGCACTGTTGGTGGGAATGTAAATTGATAGAGCCACTATGGAGAACAGTATGGAGGTTCCTTAAAAAACTAAAAATAGAACTACCATACGACCCAGCAATCCCACTACTGGGCATATACCCTGAGAAAACCATAATTCAAAAGGAGTCATGTACCAAAATGTTCACTGCAGCTCTATTTACAATAGCCAGGACATGGAAGCAACCTAGGTGTCCATCAACAGATGAATGGATAAAGAAGATGTGGCACACATATACAATGGAATATTACACAGCCATAAAAAGGAACGAAACTGGGTTATTTGTAGTGAGGTGGATGGACCTAGAGACTGTCATACAGAGTGAAGTAAGTCAGAAAGAGAAAAACAAATACCGTATGCTAACACATATATATGGAATCTAAAAAAAAAAAAAAGGTCATGAAGAACCTAGGGGCAAGACGGGAATAAAGATGCAGACCTACTAGAGAATGGACTTGAGGATACGGGGAGGGGGAAGGGTAAGCTGGGACGAAGTGAGAGAGTGGCATGGACATATATACACTACTAAACGTAGATAGCTAGTGGGAAGTAGCCGCATAGCACAGGGAGATCAGCTCAGTGCTTTGTGACCACCTAGAGGGGTGGGATAGGGAGGGTGGAAGGGAGGGAGATGCAAGAGGGAAGAGATATGGGGACATATGTATATGTATAACTGATTCACTTTGTTATAAAGCAGAAACTAACACACCATTGTAAAGCAATTATACTCCAATAAAGATGTTAAAAAAATAAAAACACAACAAATTATATGTTTGAAATTAAAAAATAATATAAATAAATAAAATGCATAACCAACAAGGACCTACCATATAGCAGAGGAAACTCTGTTCAATGTTACGTGGCAGCCTGGATGGGAGGGGAGTCTGGGGGAGAATGGATACATATAATGTATGGCTGAGTCCCTTTGCTGTGTACCTGAAATTATCATAACATTGTTAATCGGCTATACTCCAATATAAAATTAAAAGTTAAAAAAAATTAAAAAACCTTTTCTTACGGAAAATTTCTAACATACTTAAAAGTGCAGAAAATAGTATAATAAACCCCCAGACATTACATCAACATTCTATCATTCTTGTTTCATCTATTCTTTTTTTTCTGAAATATTTTAAAACAAATTCTAGACATCATATAATTTCCCTGTAAATATTTCAGTGTATATCTCTAACAAATAAGGCCTTAAGAAAATAATCACACAGACTCTTTCATAGGACAAAGAAGACACTTCTAAATCATTTTGTGAGGGCAACATTACCCTGATGTAAAATCTGAAAAGGACATTTCAAGAAAAGAAAAATACAGACCAATATTCCAAGCTCACCAGTTTGCCCATTCCTTGAAATATTTAGTATTCACCATTATCAACAGCAATAATCAGAACAACAGTGTCCACCCGAAATGTTCCTGTAATCATGTTTTCTGTGAGGAGCCTGTGGTCCCTCAAATTTCATAAGGGAGATATTTATGATGATATCATGTTTACGTTCAGCCTTCAGTTTCAGGACTCAAGCGTCTTCCATCTCAGCAGCCTCCTCCAACGCTCAGTGGTTCCCTTCTTGATTTCACCACATTGTAATTCAAGTATGGTGGCCCTATCTGAATCTACCTTTCTTCTGACTTTGATGTTAATGTATTCTTTTCGTTTCCCATTTGTTTATTGGGTGGCAAACCCATGAGAAGAAAGACCCCTCTCATGAACTGGCTTAAATATCTCTCCTCTGGAAAGTTTTCTCTAAAGTCTGTTGACAGTTATTGATGCCTCCTGTCTGCTTCCTAAGTACTTTGTACATACTTCTTTTGTTGCACTTGTTATGCTGTGATTAATCTGATGTCTCCCTCAACAGACTAAATAGCCAGTGATTAACACATTGCTTGGCATAAAGCAGTTAGCTTAGTAGATGTCTGCTGAATGAAAAAGTGAATAATAAAAATGCAGAGCTAGAGTTAGTGCAGATTACTTAAGCCCAGAAGAGTGTGCCTCTATAAGTAAAATGTCTTCTAACTTCAACACACATAGAAATCAGAAAGCTTCAAAGGCCCTTACAAAAGGATAGGTATATTTTATGATTTCATTTTTAATATAATCCTTTTAAATTATAAAGGTTAAGTAGATCCTTGTTAAAAAAAAAAAAAGACTCAAACAAATCAGACGTGTTAAAGTGAGAGGTAAGAGTTCTCTAAAAGGATGCTGCCAGTTTAGACTTCTTCATTAGTGTATAGTGGTGTGTATGTCCCTTGGACACTGCCTGTACTAAGCTTAATCTTTGCCAATTTGGTAAGTGAAAAACACTATTTCAATTTAAAAAAAAATTGTATTTATTCTAAGTGAAGTTGAGAATCTTTTAATATGTTTACTAACCTTTGATATTTATTTTTCTATGTTGTTTTTCTCAAAGCCACATCTCCAGTGCCTAGAACCATGCCTTGAATACACTAAGCATTCAGTAAATACCTATTGAACAACCGAATTGATTTTCTTTTTCGCCTCTTTTCCTATTGGGCTGTTAATTTTTAAATTTTGGTGTATAAGTGCTCTCTGTATATTAAAGAAATTGGCTTTTTTATGTGACTTGTGGTGATTTTTAGGTTGTTACATTAACTGTTTCTGTTATATTTATCAGCCTTTTCCTTTATTTTATTTTTTAAAAATTCATACTTATCTGTTTATTTTCAGTGAGTTTTTAATTCTGGAATAATTTTATTTATTTTATGTTATTATTATTTATTTTTTAAATTGAAGTATAGTTGATTTACAATTAGTCTTTTCCTTTATGACTTATGGATTCTATGGCAGGCTCAAAAGGGATCTTTCACTCCAAGGTTAAAAAATAATCTATGTTTCTTCTAGTACCTTTATGATTTTATTTTTCCATTTGACACAGTTTTGCTGCTTTGGCTACCCAGAGGAACACCCCATCTTTTTGAAAATCTCCTTCCCCCTCTACAAGCCCATGTGCTGATAGTGGATGTCTATCAGAATCCATTGTTCCAGTGACTTCCCTGGTGGTCCAGTGGCTAAGACTCTGCACTCCCAATGCAGGGGGCCCAGGTTTGATCCCTGGTCAGGGAAATAGATCCCACATGCATGCTGCAACTAAGAGTTCGAAGGCCGCAACTAAAAGATCCCGCATGCAGCAACTAATACCCAGCGCAGCCTAAATAAATAAATATTAAAAAAAAAAAAAAAAGAATCCATTGTTCCAGTTCAGCCAGCTGGGGACCAGAAGATCCTGTACATATATAGGAAAAGTACCCCAGCACAACTATAGATACCCAGTAGTTTCCAGTCAGCTTCTGGGTTTCTCCCTGAATGCATTAATGTATACTTTAACTATAGCTTTGTTCTGTGTCAGAAGTCTTGAAAAATTAGAGTAAAGGTCTAAACCAAGGCTGCACTGACCTTTCAGTCTGCTGGATAGCCCATTACCAGCATGAATTCAGTGTCTCCCTGTGCCTCTCACTCCAGACCTGGTTCTCATTGACTGACTCCTTTTCACTAACTTTCCCTCAAATTTACAAGTTGAGTCCAGAGGCAAGAAAACAGAGAACCACAGAACCACAGTTCCTAAGGAAAAAGATGGAACACACAGATGCTTCCTTCTGGTTAATGTCCCCGTCCTCTGGGAACTCTGCTCCAATATGTTTTTACAATCCCAAAAATGGAGTTTGGTAGGGCAAAGGGTACTGTGGAAAGTGTGTTGTTGACTGAAATGGAAGGAAGTGTCTCCTTGAGTGGCGAGGCCTAGCACTGCCATCTCTCTGGTGAAGGAAGAGCCTGAAAAACAGAGAGGACTTCTAAGAGTTGACTGTGGTGGAGAGGATGCTGGAAAACTGCCTGAATGTTTCATGCTTTTCACTTTTTTTTTTAATTGAAGTATACTTGATTTACAATGCTGTACAGCATTGAAGTATAGTTAATTACTGCTGTACAGCAAAGTGATTCAGTTCTCTGTGCTATACAGTAGGACCTTGTTGTTTATTATGCTTTTCATAGAATAAGTGGACCTGTTAAGAGCTAGCTGGATTTGGTCCTCTTGGAGCAAGGGGTTTGCTCTCCCTGGGACTTGGCTTGAGCACATATCAATGGGAGACAAGCACATGGAAGCTCTTCTAGACCCTGCCCAGTATGCTCCCGACATGGGGAAAGAAAACAGGCTGGTGGTAGAAACAACCTAGAACCCTTGATTGAGTTTGTCTCTTGCTTTAAAACTTGAGGGGAACCTGTCTTCTCCTTCAGAGTCCATTGTGCCATGCATGGTTCAGTTCCAGCCTTCTTTGTCATGTCACTTCTAGCACTGGCATGAAGTCAAACTGGTTTCTCCCCTTTGTTAGATCTGACACACAACATTCCCCAGGCATACATTGCCTGCACTGGCAAAGAGAAGAGATGATGAGTAGTTATTCATCCTGTCCCTGACATCTGTCCAGATATGGTCCAGATTTATGGGGTATGAATTCAGATAAGGATAGGCCTGGGACATGTACAGGTACTTAAGGTTGCTAGGGACCAACTGAGGAATACTCTCTCAGCCTCACAGGACCTTTAGATTTGGGCTAGAACCAGACTGGTCTCTGGGCTGTCCTATTATCACTTTCTATTTGAGTTCAGTGATAACCTTGCTGGGATTATTCTGAACAGCTAAAATGTGGACACATCCACTAACAGATAAATTTAAGAACACCTCTAGTTTTTGTTTTTGGTTTTTTTTCATTTTGTTTTGTTTTTAGCATTGTCTAGGAAAAAGAAGGGGGCCCTGGAGGATGCTGCTGGGGAGATCTGGTCTGTTCCTTTTCTTTTCTATTTTACAGCTTTATTGAGATACATTCACATACTGCACAATACATCAATTTAAAGTGTACAATTCAGCAGTTTTAGTATATTCACAGTTACATGCAACTATCACCACAATCAATTTTATTTATTTATTTATTTATTTATTTATGGCCGCTCAGCGCCGCGTGCAAGAACTTAGTTCCCCAACTAAGGATCGAACCCGTGCCCCTTGCAGTGGAAGCGCATAGTCTTAACCACTGGACCGCCAGGGAAATCCCCACAATCAATTTTAGAATATTTTCATCACCTCAAAAAAGGAACTCTGTACCCTTTAGCTATTACCGCCTCTTCCCACACCCTTCCCTGCCCTAAGCTATCACTGATCTACTTTCTATCTCTATAGCTTTTCCTATTCTGGACATTTCACACGCATAGAGTCATGTAATATGTAGTCTTTTGTGACTGACTTCTTTCAGTTAGTGTAATGCTTTCAAGGTTCATTCATGTTGCAGCATGTGCCAGTACTTCATTCCTTTTTATTAATGAATAATATTCCATTGTATGGATATCCCACATTTGTTTACCCATTCATTGGTTGATGGACATTTAGGTATACCTTTGGCTATTATGAATAATGTTGCTATGAAAATTTGTGTACAAGTTTTTGTGTGGACATATGTTTTCATTTCTCTTGTGTCTAGACCTAGGAGTGGAGTGCTGGATCAAATGGTAGCAATGTACTTAACATTTTGAAGAACTGCCAGAATGTTTCCAGAATGGCCCCACCATTTCACACTGTTATTGTCCTTCATTTCTTGTGTCCCACTTACCCACATGGTAAGTTTTCATATTCTTCGGACTTCAAGGTAGAAACTGAGGCTACCACTTCAGATAAGATATATGAAAGCTCAAACTACATGGAAGACATTATCGGCATCAGAACTATCCGCTGCACCTACCTCTAAGGCAATATTAAATATTATCCTTCTATAGATATTTGAACACATCCTCATAACAATCTAACTCTCCTGGTTATATCTTTCCTATTACGAAATAACCACAAAGGAGAAAAGAAGCTAAATATGTAAAACTATTTGTAAAACTTTCTGTCAGTCATGTTTTATACACTCATGGCTAAATT